ATTGAAAATGCTCAAGAAATCGCTTTTAATTGGCAAAAGTAAATTAAATGGTTTTCAACATCCTGTTGGTAGTTTTGAAGGGGAGGTAAATGGAGTATATTTCCAGGAGGGGGATAGTACTGTACAAGTTCCATTTTGCCAAGAGATGGAAGGCTATACAACTAATATTTAGATATACAAGATAATCTACGCTCTGAGACGTCTCAAATTGAGGTCAATCACTCGATGTTAAGGAAACTTATTAGTTTAGATTTTTTAAAGGTATAGTTCTGCCAAAATGATTTTAAGATCGATTAATTGATTTTTTAGTGGGTATCGCCCTAAGAAATTGAAAAGTCGTACAAGAGTCTAAGATTGCAAAATCGAAAACTAATTACAAAAGGCCAACTTTACGATTTTCACTTCGACTTCGTCTTATAGACTTTTATTATCATTAAAAGTCTATTAATCAAAAATCGACCTACGTATCCCTATTTTATTGTGGAAAGGTGCAAAAACGGTCACAACTTTTACCAGGAAAGGTATTATTAGGTTTTCTTTGTTAAAAAGAGTAGTGAAGCAATACTCCTTGATAGTATACATGATCGAATCCTCGAATGAGATTAGCAAATGGTTGCCTGTGGGCAAAATTGGGACACAGAGGGCTTATAATTTCTCAGCTATAAGCGTACTTTTTAGAACTAACGCAGAAAGGCTCTAGTTCAGTATTCATTTCAGTTTACCCACCTAAAACTATGATTTCCGATTTTTATTTCATTGACAATTACTCCTTTGTCCAATATCCAGATGGCGATCCAGATGGCGCTGCCTATAGGAAACAATTGAAGGCGCTTAAAGTGTTTATTTCGTTTCAAGACGATATTTCTACAAACCCGAAAAAGGGGAGTAAAACGTTGCATGTAGCCCCGGAATATGGAAAACTCCTAGAAAGGGAGAATTTTCATATTTTAAACAGTTGAAAATATATTAAGTTTTGCCGGACCAAACTTTCGATCCACCATTAGGTGTAAAACAACAGGTGGGTTATAGGTAAACATGATCCTATATAGGCAGTGATATGCCACATAAGGTAAAAGTAGAGAACATACCTACCAAGAACTCCAATTATCAAGTTTAACCTTATTTGGCTGGAAATTGTGACAGAAACCTTTAGCATACCGAAAATCTGGAGTTACCACTATATGGTCTCTATACATAAACGTCAATATAAAACTTTGTGGCAAATTTCAAAGGTCTAGATTGAATAAAGACTATTCGTTATTCCAAGAAATAGAAAGACGAGCAGACAGACAGACTGATATCGCTAAATCGCCTTATATTTTTATTCTGGTCAGAAATATTTGTACTTTATGGCGTCTCGGACGATTATTTCGAGGTGTTGCAAAAGGAATAACAAATTTAATATACCCTCCATTGTAAGGCGGAGGCTATAGAAGCGTAAGGAGAAAATGAAAATGGTTAGAAGATGGGAAATTTTTCTTCCGAACCTATGCTTCTCAAATGGAATAGATCGGAAGGAAGCAGCAAAATGCCTGCATTTCAAGCCGGTTCGTTGACATGGTTATTCTGAAAAGGATTTTCGAGGAAGCAAGCCCGTACTCATGGTAATATTTTGAAGATGTGTGTCCACATACTCAAAAGAGTGTTCCGGTTCGAGTGACTGAATTCAAGCAGTCGAAAGGAGCTGCAATAATCCGTGGAAGGAAATTGTACTAAAACCGAATTCTGATCAGAAATATTCTTCTTTAAAGCTATACATGGTTGTTTCAAAGTAGAATAGTCGTAAGCAATTTGATGCCGCTCTTGAAGTCCCAGGCTATTGGCAAAAGTATGGCCTACACCACAGCAGCGAAATAGAAAAAGAACACCGAGAACTAAAATGGAATAGATTCGACACCATAGAAATGGCCATCTCCTAGCTTTTGAAGCGTCGAGAAAAGAGCAAAGCCATTTGAGACCTAGGGACACCACACCCCGAAATGGCAAAGAATAATTAATAACTAATTCCTTATCATTGTGTTCTTGAAATGGTGAAAATTGAAAAAAAAAACTGGCAAGTCTAACTATATCCTCAAAGGTGGGTTTGACCATAAAGGAGGTTGGTACATCTTAACATCCTTGAAATGTATAATTAGATTGCTGGTTGTTTTACCTGTTATGCTAAGATTCTCACCAGGGCGTCTGCAAAAAGTTCAAAGCCAGAGTAAATCAGAAGATATTTTGAAGCATAAAACCTTTGGTGAAATGAGAAATTCGGGAAGTGGCCTGGTCATCACACTCTTCTTCTTGCAATCAATGACAAATCTGAAGATCCTTGGGTGACATTGCTTGTAAAAGTCATCTGAAGAGGGTCTAAAGAGATGTTCATGTGCTTAGTAATATTCGAAATACTTTACACGGGGTCAAGGTTATTTGGCGCCCAACGTGGGGTAACTGCTACAAAGTCATTAAAACTTATTTTAAAGAAGTCCAAAGTATGAAACATCTAGACAATTAATTATTGGCACCTTGACAGTTAATCATTGGAAAGCCCCACTGAATGGCGCCGGTATTGCCGCAATAACCATTATATAGGTTACCTTCAAAGCGCCTGCCGGGAAGGCGTGCATTTAACTTTAAACTTTGTAGACAGCACAGCAGCAAAGTCTGATGAATTGTGGACTTAGAACTCAATGAATGTTGGAGATATTAGCAATTATGGAAGTAGGTTGCCTAAAATGCTCTTCTGCTTCTAATAACTGGCAAATCTGATTCTTGATTGTAATGGGTTGCAAAACTGGTATAAGGAAAGTCCAACTCTCGGAAGAGACGTTCATAAGCAAAATAATATTAAGGTTATGTGGCGCCCAACATGGGGTAGATTTTAAAAAACGTATTTTAGAGCCAATAGATATTCCAAATTATTAAACATCTTCACAATTAATTTTTAGAAAGCCTCACTGAATGGCGACAGTATTATAGCAATAATCATTTCATAGTTTCCCTGCAAAGCGGGAAGGCAAGAATCTCACTTTTAACTTTGTTGACAGCACAGCAACAGAGACTGATGAATCGTGGACTTGAAACCAAGGCTTCAGAAATGAGCTTTTATTTAGATAAACGACATCCTTCGAACACGTATAATGAACATATACTTCGACTTCAGTTCTGGTGGAAGAAAATAACGACGATTGTGAAGATCTGTTCCTGGCCCAAAAATTTTAGATTGACAAATAACTTTTTTTTTGTTGCAAAATGGTCAGGCTTTATCCCCTTATTGTTGTTTTTATAAAAACAACGTTTGTTTATTAGTGGAGAACGATGGTAATGTTTATCAAGACAAATAACTTTAAACCGAACATATAAATTAATATGGGATGATAGGATAAAACCCTGCCCTATATTTCCCTTTTTAGCAGGGAAGTACTCTAATCCAATTTGAAAAAAATGCTGAACAGGTCGACATCAGTCAACCTAGAAAATTTTTAAATATTTTTAGAAAATCTCATTTTTTATGAGTCGGCCATTCTACAGACAAGCTGCTATCGCTGGGAGCTTCCAATTATCGCCAAAAGTTTTGTAGTTACTTTGAAAGCCTACGAACTCTCAATAGGTATATTTGGGATTCTTTACAACATACGTATCGAGTTCAAAGTTATAAATTCGAAATGCCCAGCCACAATGAAATCATATCCTTCGAAAACAGTAAAAATATTTACGAGCTTTAAATTACAAAATAGTAAAAATATCATAAACTTATGTACACCAGGTGGTGTCTAACATGGACAAAAACAAAAAATCAGGAGGAGAGAACGGCAAATGGCCTAGGCACACAACAATCAACCCAACCAATAGTCGGGACAAAGTTAAGGATACCAGCAAACAAAGATTTCCAACAACAAACTGACAGATAAATGCAGAAGAGCTAACCAAAAAAAAGTAACAAAAACAGCGACAAAACGTTACACAAAGAATTGCCAACAAAACCATAGATATGGCGATGGACATGAACATGGTAAACGACAGAACGACGGACACGTTTGTGTTTTTGCCACAACAGCCAAAAAAACCGAAAAAATGGCAAAAGTATTGGCAACAGCAACAAAAACTGAAAAAAAAAACACAAAAGAACAACGACAACAAACCATCTGTGCAACCATTTTGGAATAGGACACAAAGAGTTAGTTGTGAACATGTTGTAAATTACTAAAGTGTACTTAACTCACTCGAAGGCAACAACAACAACAGCAACGACAACTACAAGGACAACACCAACAACAGCAATGACGACGACTTTCATATACCTACATCTGGTGGTTGCCAGGACTGTCATTTGGCTTCGCAAGGCAAAACGAAAAAAAAAAACAAAACGGAACAACAACCAGCAGAATCTACTTTGGACAGGAGCAACAACAACAGCAACAAAGACCAGCAGCCTCAGCCATCGAACAGAACCATTTCTTTCATTTCATTTCACTGCAGCTACCAGAGTCGAGTCCATAATGCAAATGGGTGTGAGTGAGAGTAACTTAGTGATAGCAACAACAGCACTGCAATCCAGTGGCACTGCCTGCCGCTGGTAGTCATCAGTAGTCGTTCGAGTCTATATACCACTTGAGTTTGGCTAAAACAAAAACAAAACAAAAAAACACCATTCATTTTTCTCGCCACTTGCTCACTCTCCCATGGCCAGCCAACAGTACATGCCATGGAAGACACTGCAGAACGAACACCAGCAGCCAGCTGGGCTTTAGCAGCAACAGCATATGTTCACAATGAATCGGTTCATTGAGCACCAATCAGAGCTACTCACCAGCCATGAGGGGCGTCAACGAAACCACCACACACCAGACCTGCAGACCGGGTGAGTGTGTGCGTGTGTATGTGTTGCTGCTCTTGCTGCCATGGAGGCAGTGTTGTGCGCAAGTATCTAAAAATGGAACTGGTTTTTTATGTACTGACTCCACAAACAAGTCCTACTCGTGCCATACACAAGGCAGGCTGGATGGATGGCTGGCTGCTGGCAACTGAGCAACTGAATGACTGACTCACTGGGCAGCAGAATACAAAAGTCACTTTAGTTCCAAGCAGATTTTACGTACGTGCGGGTGTATCACTCTGTGTCGGAGTCAATGAAAAATTAATCACACACTCACCAGCCAGAGCAGCAGCAACAACAAGAGCTACAGAAAAAAAAAGAGATTCATAATTGCAACTGAAGCTCACTCACACATACCGACAGACACACAAACACACACACATAGACATACTCACTCGCTCACGAATTCAAAGGAAGAAGAAAAAAACCAACAGCGATTAAAGTAATTGCAAATTTAATTAACTTAACTAGACAACGAACGAGCGACACTGCCAGTCGTCAGTCAGTCAGTTAATGGCAGTAGCTTCAAATAGTGAGCGGTAGCAGGCATCCGACCGAAAGTGTTTTTTTGTAATAACTAAACGAATGAAGAGAAGTGAAGTGCAGTGCAGTGTGACTGACGGACCGACGAACCGACTGATTGAAGGCATGTCCCGCCGACCACTACCAAGCGACGACGGTGATACCCATAAGTAATTACTGCTGTTGTTGTTGGTAGTTAAGTAATTACATGCATTGTTTGTTTGTGGCATTCATACGTTGCAATTGTTGCCAGTGTTTTTGAATGTGTGCGTGCGTGCTAAAATTATTATTATTTCAATTATTGTGACAGGTCACGTGATTTGTTGGCAATACAACAAATAATTAGCAATACTCAAAGAAAACAACAACAAATTAAAAAAAAAACATAATTAGTGCCAACCAGTGTTTAATTTAGTCGAATTGTGCAATCAAAAATAAAGGCGCTCCATGCCTAACGCCACCTTGTGTTGGATTTAACCTCATCAACTTGAAATTTCAATCAATACTCTTCGAAATCACGTTCCCTTGATCCGGAACATCTTCGTGGGAGATTGTCCTGTGTACCTATTATGGAAAGTAACGCCTTTGGAAGCAGTCACATACCGTCACAAGCATTGGTCGTTTTATCGGAGGCTGCTTCCGGTTTGCATGAGGCTCTAAGAGGACAACGTCCATTCCCCGCACGGGTAAGTTTTCAAAGTACAAGGAAGAAATAAAAATTGAATTTTTTATAATGCCGTCGGTTGAGGAAAGTAATTCTAAACAAGGCCTATTAAGGAATTTTCCCCTAAGATGAAAAAATGGGATAACTATAAACAATTTCCAAAAGAAAATAAAAAAAACTACTACTGAAGTAAAAATGAATTTTCTAACATATAAATCATGACAGAATTAAGAAGGTATAGTCATGTAATCATATGTTTATTTTTTTTTTTCAAAAATTTTCATTTGACAACATCTTATTGTCAAAATGTTTATTTATAAATCCAATGCATATACATAAGTCAGAGATGGGAAGCAGTTTCCTATGCTGTGAAATTTGACAGAAAATGCAAAGATAGGTATGTATTTTCTTTTTAATTTTACCATTATATAAATATATTTCAAATATAGTTAAAAGTTATTTCGAAAAAGATCAATTAATGCAGTAATAGTTCTCTTGTGATTATCGGAGTTATAATTCACACTTCATGTTCTTACAAGGTAAATTACAAAAAATCCAGACATGGGTATGCCTTTTTGAAATGACTTTACCTTCTTAATTTTACCACACTTCATGTTCTAACCACAATCTGCCGTCGTAACATACTTAAGGCTCGAAAAGTACACTGTCGAGGGCAAGGCTGGATTTTTGTTACATAAAATTATGAAAAGAAATTTTTTTTCTTTGTAAAATTATTTACTTTACAGTTTTAACTTTATAATGAAATTTTCATAGAACAAGAATGGCAAAGAGAAGTAATTTTTAAAGTCTAAACATTTTGTTTTGACAAAAAAATCACTTTTCCGCCTATTGATTGTCCAAATAGCTGAAAGTCGTTTTTCGATCTATACTTCCCTACATAAAGGCCATTTTAGATTTTCTTGATGAGTAGTTTTAAAACTTAATGGCTTTATGAAGGGAGTAAAAGTTCACAACTAAACAATAATTATCGTTGCATACTTTTAGGTTGGTAAAAATATCAAATAAAAATCAATGATTACCAGGCAATCGGAAATGGGTTAAAAACGAATTACTTTGCCATTTTCAATAGTCGACCTTTGGAATTTTCATTTACTGCCATTTCTACTCAAATATGCTTGCTGTTTCTTCCATTCATTCTCCCATTTCAATTGACTGATTAAGGCGACATTGCTGTCCATTAAAATTCCATTAAAACATTCACTTTTGACATTAACGACATTTTTTTATGCATTAATCCCTGGACCATAATGAAAGAATACTGTCAGATACATCAGCACTTGTGAACATTTATTAACCCCAGTCATGAATATCCGCGGGGAATTCTATTCTCAATTTCTAGAGATATCATTCATCCATGAATTATTGAGGATAAATATTTTTTTAATATGGCAACAATGCTAATGTGTCTTTTTCGTACCTTGTGTACCCTATTTGTTGTGCAAACAAATAATGCAAATTCGAGTGCTTCTGTTGTTATACCCTCCACCTCGAAAAGGAGGTAAACTTTGTCATTCCGTTTGCAAAATTCCATTTTTTTTAATCAGACCCATAAAGTATAAAATTCTAAGTCGATTTCACGATTTCCGCCTGTCTGTTGAAATCACGATACAGCCCACATTATGTGACGTAGAGCTTCAAAATTTGGGAGAACCATTTGTATTGTGTCCAGGATGATTTGTATTGAAAATGAGATATATCAGTCCACGTTTTGGTATAGCCGTCATATAACGATATGGCGACATATAACGACCTCCCGATATTCGGTATTTTGATGATTTTCGCCACAATTTTGGACGGATTTGTTTAAAAATTGGTATTTGTAGTTCGTAATGGATTCCAACTTAGATGGCGAAACATTGTATGTATAAGCCCACGTTTTTGTATAGGCCCCCCATAACGGTACCTCCTATTCGGTATTTTGATGATTTTTGTCACATTTTTCCACAGATTTGTCAAAAAATTGGTATTTTTAATTCATAATGGGCTCTAGCCCCGCTGGCAGAACATTTAATATTTAGGTCCACGTTTTCCTATAGCGCACATATAATGATACCCACCGATATTCGGTATTTTTATAATCCTAGTAACATTTACCCACAAAACTGTTTCAAATTTGATATTTAAGAAGATTTGGCAGATGATAATCCTTAAAGATTAAGATTTTGTCAAAAAATAAGTAGATTTTTATGTGTTTTCTTTTGCGACGCAAATCGGAGGTTGTTACGATATTCATTTTTCAACATTTTATACAAATTTCTATATTTTTTCATTAAACATTTTCAATTCCAAAATCGGTTTGACAGTTAATTATACCAGCAGCTGTGTCGATGGGACTACCTGTATTCTTCTAGCAAGTTTATGTTCAATAATAATGTTGAGCCTAAAAGTATGCATCATGCATTTCAATCTAATGCAAATGCAAAATAAGTACTGTACAGTAAAGTACTAGTTTATGATCTCATTTGACATGACGATTTTAAATTTCAATACCTTGAACTCAGCCATTTTGTCTGTAGGATGATGGGCAGTTATAGGTGGTACTAGAAAATTATGTCCTATTTTCCCGGCTAAAAGTTTGCCCGTCACTATTAAAAACTTCGAAATTTTATTACGAACTTCCAAATTTGCAGTAATTAGGCTATTTTTGCACGTTTCTGATCCGTCTTAGGGCTGTTTTTATAAATCTTCTTACAAAATTTTAATATCGGATAGTGAATAAAAAATCGCATAAATTGCCTAAAAGACGATATATTAAACAAAGATTTATTCTTTAAAAGCATTTGTAGATTTTCCATAAATCTATTAGGAATTATTCATAAATGGAAGGTGGATCAGTTATCCAGGAATAAAAATTGTCCGTAAATAGTGGTAAAAATACCGCAGCCAATATATTTGCTTTTAGCTCCATAAGAAGTGGATGTATATTTAAGTTATTTTGGATTTAAGTGAGTAGACGTACCCCCAAATGTCGTGCAAAACTTCAGTATCAATAAAGTGTGACTATATCTACATAACATGTACAAATTAGCCACAATTCCGCAGTTAAGCATCACTCCCTGTTATCCCATATCCATTGATAAGTTCATAACAAAATTAAACGTTGTGGTGGCGAAGGCCGCGGTGGCGGCATTTCTGATAACTACCCAAGAACCAGCAAAAAAAAAATACTGAACATTTGCCACAAAATCAACTCTTCTGCATAGTTTTGAGTAAATTTCGGGAAACAAAGCGGAGTTAATTCAATTTAAGTTAAAACAATCAAAACGTTTTGTCTACCAAGCGGACGACGAAGTAGGAGAAGAAATGACACATAGTTTGACAAAGTTCCAAAGAAATTGGTCAAACAAACAGATGTAGCAACAAAACACAGCTAACCATATTCCTGCTTATAAACTGAACTAAACTGACTGCCAGCATCGAACTGGCGAAGGTATTTTGTATTTATGATAACTCTACAAATTTCACCTTGCCATTGACGATCGATGGGCCAGGCAGCATGCGATTATGGATGGCTGGCCATAAAGACAGCAGAAGGAGAACAACAATGTCATTCAGTTCCTACATATTCAATCGAAGTATGACTGGATCGGTGGAAGGATGGATGGACGGTTGGTTGGATGAATGTATTTTAGTTTTGAATTTAAAATTTCGCGCATGTGGTAGCAGTTTATTTGACCGCAATAAATCAGCACACCCAAAGAGGCGACGTAAGGCATCTAAACTCCTTAGCCACTGGATTTGTATAACCCACATTCTTGGCCTGGCGAATGAAGGCAGCCAGCAACGCCACTAAGTATTCCAAAGTTGAAGTCTTGCCACAGATCTGACATTAAACGGTTTCACAAGCCAGACACAATGTGATTCCCAATATTCCTTGTTGCTGTTTCTACTTTCAACCATTCGTCCTCTTGCCCGTCTGTCTCTCTGTCCGTCCCATCCATCCATTGTGGCCTATTGTGTGTAGATTTTTGGTATTGACAATTTATGATTGTGTCCAAGTTTGCCACATGAATGTGTGATTGTTTTCGCTACTCCTAAAAATTCCCTGTCTCCGCTAGCCACTTTTCCCCTCCTCTGTCGCAAACAATGTGTGAGTTGTTGTTGTTGCTCGACGAAGACTTCTGTCATCATAAACATGAGCAATGGTCATGACGCTGATGCTACAAATGATGAAAAATATTTGAAACTTTTGATCAGTCGTTGATGGCCATGATCTTTTTCTTTTAACGGATATCCCCAGCAAACAAATAAAACAAAAGCAACAACAAAGAAACAACAAACAAGTTTCGCGCCAATATCTTGTTCGAAATTTAAAATACGATCTTCAAAAGTGGAGTATGTTAAACAAGGTATCAATATGTCCAACCGAAAGTGTAGATGGAAGCGAGATATTCAACGGCCAGAAACAACACCAATAAGTTCATCAACCATTACCCGCTTGGAGTCATATCCTGTGGGGATTTTCGTGTGGGGAAACCCAAGAGCCAGTGGTTATTTGGCTTATATGTTTGCTGCCAATTAGTGCAGAGTTGATTAGCACCAAGAGTAATAGAAGGGAGAGGGGTAGAGAGCAGTGCTCTTGCTTGCCTCATATCTTAATGTGTCAACAATTAAAAGAGTATTGAATTGTTAACATTTTTATGGAGCTCTTCTCTTGTTTTGCGTTTAGTTTTCCTCTTCAGAGAGGGTTGCCGTTAATAATACTGAAAAGGAGAGATAAAATGAAATGTAGAGTTTCTATTTCTCATTGATCAATTAGGATCTAAGAGTAGAGCTAGGCAAAATCATATAAAGAGATGGTATAAGAGAAAACTGAATTTTGCATTTTTCTTATATTTTATATATTTTTATATATAAATATTGTCTAAAAAAATTAAAACTAATTGTTAATATAAATAAATAAATAAGACATTGATTGGTTGATTGTTTAATAAAAACTAAGAGAGATTGGCAGAGTGGGCTAGAATACTTTCTTGCTCACCTGTGACTTGGAGTAACACC